TGAGGCATGGAGACTGGTTCTTAGTCATAGACCTCAAGGATGCCTATTTCCACATCAGCATCCAACCAAAACATTGCCATGATCTAAGATTTTCCATCAAGGGGGTGACTTATGAATTTAAGGTCCTTCCCTTCGGGCTATCAACTGCCCCATGAGTGTTCACAGAGTGTTTAGCCCTGGTGATGGCGCATCTGCATTTGCAGGGTGTCATGGTTTTCCCTTCCCTGGATGATTGGTTGCTGGTGGCACTGACCCACACCCAATTAGAGTGAGATATAACCTTTACTCTATCCCTTTTGTCTGGCCTTGGCCTCCAGGTCAACCTGGAAAAGTCTACCCTACAGCCCAGGGACGTGGTGGCGCTGCGGGCTAAACCTCAGAAGCCTGTGCTTCAGCGACCAACAAGAAGTGTGATTGTTATTGCTCACGAGCAGGAATTGGCCTCCACTCTGAAGGGGACACATTCATATACATTTGGTCCTCCAGTCTCCTGTACATGATCCCACTAATCCAGAAAGCTATCATCAAAGTCTGCCAGGATGCTGCAAACATCTTCATTGCCCTGTGGTGGCCTTGCCAAACGTAGTTCTCCACTCTGCATCAGGAGTCAGTAGACTGCTTCCGGCTCCTGGTGATGCCCCATCATCTGTCCCTACACCACAGCAAAATGCTTCACCCAGATCTGGACTCCCTCCATTTGATGGCATGGAGGCTACTCCCACCATAGCCAGTGTCCTAAATCATGCATGGAGGCATTCAACGACATTCACATATGCCTACAAATGGAAGGTCTTTTGCATATTTGCATCTGCACCCCACTTACCTGTGTAACCCACCTTGCTGGATGCAGTCCTTCAGTTCTTTCTCCATCTCTTACAGCATGGACTTTCTCACTCCATTCTCAAGGTTTATATGGCAGCTATACTGGCACATCAGCCGCCCTCCTCAGAGGCAGCAACTCTCTTCCACCATCTCATTCTCAAGCAGTTCCTACATGGCTTGAAGAACTTGTGCCCAGCTTACTCCACAGTGGTCCCTTCAGCTTGTCCTCAATAGGCTCATGGGTCCTATGTTTGGACCTATGTCTACCGCATCTGAATGACTGCTCACTCTGAAAATGGCTTTCCTTCTTGCCATCACTTCCGCATGTTGAGCAGGAGAGCTGGCTGCTCTAAGAGTGGAACCTCCCTTCCTTCAGTTTCACCTGGATAAGGTGACACTCTATCCAGATCTCTCCTTTGTGCCTAAGGTGGCCATCTATTTTCACTTGAACCAGCCGATAGTCCTACTCACGTTTTTCCCTGCAGCCACGTCGCATATGGAACAGTCCCTGCACTCCCTAGACATCAAGTGGGCTCTGTCCTACTACGTCACTCACTCTGTGTCTTTCTGCACTTCAAATAAACATCTCCTTCCAAGGTCACTTAAGGGGGACCCCGGTCACATCCCAGATGATCTCCTGGTGGATAGTTTCAACTATTCATCCGATGTATGAGCTAGCCCACACACCCCTGCTGTACATTGTGAGGGCCCATTCATCCAAGGCCATGGCATCCTCCACAGCATTCCTCAGAGGTGTCAGACATATGTAAAGCAGCTATGTGGGCTACACCTTCTACCTTTGCGTCCCACTATCACTTGGATGTCTGGGCCAAAGCGGAGGCTGATATTGGTCATGCTCTTCTAGCCTCTGTGCTGTTGTGATGTCCCTCTACCTGGTAAGTCAGCTTGCTAGTCACCCATTAGTGTGCATTCAGAGACCACAAAGAAGAAAAAGATGTTACTTATCTGTAACTTTGGTTCTTAGAGTGGTAATCTGTGAAATCACACTTCCCGCCCTTCCTCCCTGCTATCCATCATGTGTACGTTTTTGCATGAACAGTGGCGGGCTGTTCCAGGGAAATGAGGCACTCAGTGCAGGGCTGGGGTTATGAGTAGCATGTGGTCCCAGCACCATGTGCTTGAGGTCTAGAATGTTCCAAGCCTGCTCTGTGCAGGTGCAAATTAATCTGATTATTTATTTATTTATCAGAGGGCCTTTTCAGCAATGGCACCCTAAACATGGAATGCTCCACCCAACAGGTACATGTCATGCCTGCCTTACTGTCTTTCTGCTGCAAGGCATTCTTAAAAAGTTGTCAGTCTTTTTAATCTCGATGACACTCATGCTGCCTTTACTTACTCTCAGGTAGTCAAAGATGCTACATGATTATGATTAGTGTGAATTCACAGATGACCGCTCAAAAAAACAGAGTTACAGGTAAGTAACCTCTTTTTATGGAGACATAGGTTGAGCTCCAAAGTGCTGAGGGAAATGAAAACCCTCAAATTCAAAGTGAAGAATAAAATGAAGAACTAGTAATAATTACTTCAGAAGGAGAAAATATCAAAAGCTCCCAAGATTTTGAAAAATGGAAGCTGGAACAGGAATTCAAACTGAAGGAGTCAGTTATGAAAAACCAATTAGAATTGGAAAAGTTCCAATCTGAGATGAAGAAATTAGAATCAGCTGCCCATAATAATAATTCCGGTGTGGGAAATCCCTCAAATATTGATCTAAAGAAATTACTCCAATATCGGAAATGAGATTGTCCAGAACCTTTCCTGATTTCCTTTGAGAGAGCTTCTTGGGACATCGGAATTAAAGATGATGAAAGGATAATAATTTTAAGGTCACAGATAGAGGGAATTTTTTCTGATATTTATTCACAGATGCCTCTTGAACAAGCTAGAGATTTTGAGGCTTACCAAAAGATGGTGTATACCCAATTTGGGATTAATTCAGACCATCTCAGGAGAAAACTTTGATCAATTTCAAAGAAACCTGAAGGGTCTTTTGCTCAACTTGGGGCACGTTTAACTCAGCATCTTAATAAGTGGCTAGCACAGGAACAGGTCACTGTCATGATATAGGTTATTGAAGCCAGAATGTAATTTCTAAATAGGATTTGTAGTCATGGAATTAGCCAGAAGGAATCCATCTTAAGTCTGTGTCATTCTTACTGGAAATATCTAGATGCTGTTTTCTTCACAGCAGCTAGCAATGTTATCTCGTAACTAGAGACGACGGCAGAAGACCTACTGAAGTCTAAACATTCCAGCAGAGAAAAGTAAATAACACCTGCAGTTCCATGAGAAAGAAAGGCGGAGAGAGACAACTTTTTCTTCATCCTGATTGGTTAATAACAGTGAAGAGGAAGGAGGGGGGTTTCCAGCATGAGGAGAGAAAATGGAGGATTGCTTAGGGAGAAGAGAGACTTTTGGATTTTAGAGAGACTTTTTGCCTGATGGATTTTTAGAGGGACTTTGTGACTTTT